ACTTTGAGTCACAGGAATTAAATCTTCTCCGTCAGAGGTCATTATTTAATTATTACTATTTTAAAAAGTGACCTTTAAAACAGTGAGACGTTCATATTTCAATTTAGATAAATATTTATTTGGATTTTTCTTTTCATTAAATTTGATTTCTTTATTAAAAAAAGTTTGCAACCAAGGACCCAGTTGAACCCTGGTTCCTGGTTATTTAAGAAGTTTGACAGATTGTCAAGAATTAGAGTTGTTTACTTGTTTTGTTAATACATAAAATTATAAAATACACTTTTTTTTCTCTAATGCTAACTCCTCAAACTTGCAATTCCAGTTCAGTGATTTGTCTTTGTCAATTGTAACACAAACGGCTTCAATCTGTGATCATTTTGACAGCGGTTTAAACAAAAACAAAAATCCACTGTGCTCCAAAGGCAACCTCTTCCACTCCCAGCTTGATCCTGCCACACGGTGTCTGTATTATGCTGCACTGCTGATTATGTGAGGAGGAAGCAGGACTGGTGGATAGAGAATTACCGTGTGAGGGAGCGGAGAGAGAAGGGATAAATGGAGAAACAAACAGGATCTCACGCTGCTCCCTTCTCATCTGCCCCGCTAGGATTAGGCTTTATATCTACGATGAAGGTGAAGGAAACTGCGGCACAGCTGTTTGCTTCTTCTTTATTTTACACTCAGGTTATCTCAATGTCAAGTGAAAAGAGTGTAAAAAAACCCCAAAACACTCTTCTTTCAAAAAACTAAATCCCTTCCAAGAAAGGAAGGTCATGACGGAAACGTGCTTTTGTTTTGATCTCTGACCTTTAGGTACAAGAGCAAAGAAAATTATTATTTTTTACAACATAAAAAAAAGCCCTCAATAATTTATATCTGTAAAACTACACAAAGGTTTAGACAATGTCAGATTTACCAATTGGTCAAATTCTCTTGACTGTATTTAAAAACTTTAAAAACAAGGATTGTTTTGTTTTTTTTAATCAAGTGAACACGACCGTGTTCACCGTTGTCTTGATTTGAACTTGAAACTTCCACTTGATCTGTCCGACACTCGGTGTTCACCGTTGTCTTGATTTGAACTTGAGACACTCTGTCAGATTAAAATAAGCTACATAAACTTTTAATAAACTTTTATTCCCGCCACAGTCCAACAGGAGGCACCGCAGGGCTTATAGTTTTGAATTAGAAGTCGGTGGACAGCTCCTGGTGCTGAAATAAAAACCCAGTGTGTGTCGTTTACAACCTGATGTCACGAAGGTCCTGAAACAACTCAACGGTGTTAAGTTTGAGAATTAAAAAAAAAAAAAAAACATCATTCACTAACACTATAAAAAATACACTTCAGCCACAGGTTTAGGACTTTAGGAAGTATTTAATGTGAACAGTGTCGCTTTGAATCATTGGTCAACAGTGCGACCCTCTCCTGTGTCTTTATGGCACTTCCTCAAAACATGACCTCTGGGTCATTTACTGTAGAATTTACTTTTTACTTTCACTCGTTCTGTGTCCTTGTCACCATGTAAACGACCGCCATCGCTTAGAATTTTGGTTTTAAAATCCTCTCACTTTTGAGGGCCATTCACATTCAGTATCAGTTAACATTCTTGTTTTTTTTTTTTTTGAATATTTGACCAAAGATTTTGAGGCTTTCAACCATCAAACCACTTCCTGGAGCTCCTTTTAAAATCCACACCTTTTCCCATATGTTGGTTTTAACATTATGCATACGAGTGTAAAATAAGGGGTGTGTACAAACTGTGTTGACAAAAACATACTCTCTGTGAGTTACTGTGAAAGTTTTCTCCTCCAGTAGAACATAGGTCTAATTAAGGAGAGGAAAATCTGCACAGTGGGAGGAAGAGAGTGGGTTGAAAGAGATAAACAAACCAAGACAAGGTTGGCAGGAATATTAATACACACACACACACACACACTCATATATATTCATATATAGTGTTTAATATTATCTCTGTGTGTAAGGTCTATAATAGTAATAATAAAACTATAAGACGTTGTTTGTAAACGGAGGAATACATTGGACATAGACGTGTGCGTTTATCTACGCTCACGTTATTTTTCTGCTAATTTTCAGCCGTTTCTCCAAAGCACGTTTTGCATTAAATGTTGGGATTTTAATATTCCTCACCCCGACGAGTGTCTCTGCCTCTCGTCGTCTTCTCCTCGTCTTCTAATCTTTCTCTCTCACCCACTAATCTCCTCTTCTCCTTCTCCTACATTTCTGCCTCCTTGAATTAATGCCACTGCTAAGGAGTGGAGCACCTAGTGCAGTACTTCACTGACTCAGCGTGGTACAGTAATCTTTTACATTTTTAACACGATGTCCGACATGATGCCCCCCCCCCATC